AGGAAAATAAGAGAAAAAATTATGAAAGGGAAAGAGGCCAGACCAAAAAAAAAAAAAGTGATTTTGAGATTAATCTAAACTCAGTCTGATACTATGGGGAGATCTGGAGTGCAGATTGTTAAAACTTGAACCCCTGAATCCTGTCAGATCTTCTTTACCACTACAGTCAACTCCTCCTCCCTGATCTTTGGAAGTCGGTCACCCCTTCCCTGCAAAGCTTGTAATGGACTCCCCTCTAGTAATTTCCTTGCAAGGCATTGCTGGTCCTACTAAGGACTTATTGCACCTCTTCTCATTACTTCTAGACCTATAGCCAGACTCAAGTCCAAGTAGATCCAAGAGGGTAAGACACAAACTGAAACATGTGGGAAGATGTGAGACATACCAAAATCCTAATTTTATCAATATAGCCAAATTGTCCACCATTAGAGATTATACTAATTAATACTCCTGTCAGCAATGTGTATGTTTCCCCAAAAACTCAGCAAAAAAGTGTTTTCAAAGTTTAGGAATTTTGCCAAGTGAGTAGTTAAAAAATGGTATCTCAGGAAGTGATTAAAGGTGGCAATGTGAGAAGTGATACAGAAACCTCCATCCAAAACCACATATAATAAGAAAATACATCAAATAAAACTAATCCTGAGTCAACAGGAAAGAAGACTGCAACAGGCTGCCTACATCTGAGAAAAGAGAACTCACATTAAAGGGTAAAATAGCAAAGCTGTGATAGGGCGGGACTCTAGCCCTTGCCCACACCCAGCTCACTGGCAAGAGGAAGAGAAACAAAGCAGAGAGGAGGCAGAAGCCTAGGACTGTTGAACACCCAGCCCTGGAGATCTGCTCTGGGAGCACAAACCTACATTACATTGTGCTATGGATATTAGTGGGGTTAGATTGCAAAGACAGGTAGAATACTCAGAGAGACTGATATTCGTGCCGCTTGTGGAGGACAGGTATGCACAACCGGTTGCTCTGGGACAAAAGTAAGGAGGGTACTTTGAAAGACTTCTCAATAGTGAGAGGGCTGCTAGAGGGGCAAGGATTACACAGAACTTGCTGCTCAGGAAAAAGGACAGGTGGACAAAATCATCCCGGTGCACTCAGCCCAGCAGGCTGGGATATTTCAGGAGCTTGAAATGCTCCATCCCCTTTCTGGCAACGTGCACAAAGGTGCCCCACCATGATATGCAGCCTACCTCTCTTTCCTCCAGGCATCAGTTCACAAAACTGCTGCCCCACCATTGCACCATGCCAGCCAGAGGGCAACCCCACCTACAGCAACTACAGGGGCTAATTCACAGGCTTCTCCTTGCTCGTTCAGCACACTGGACCGGACAGTGGAGGCAGGCAATGCTCCAGGAAGCAGGAAAGAGGTCTTTCCTCCAGGCAGGCACAAGCACCACTCACCTGTAACTCCCGACATCACTCCAGGTGCTAGGCAGCTACAGAGAGTAGAGCTTCTGGGCACTAGAGGGCATTACCTACACAAAGTTATTATTTCATATTATTCAGTAGGAATATGAAAAGGGAAAAGAACATCATTCAATACAAAAATCCCTTAAACACCAGAAAGAGGGCTTCTGTGAAACTGGCATTACCTATCTTCTTGATAAAATTTCAAAATAAAAATCATAAGCATGCTCAGAGCTACAGAAAAATATTCAAGACCTCCAGGACAACTTTAAGAAAAGTGATAGACATTTTGAAAAAATACAGTGACTGAAATGAAATATACAATGGATGGATTTAAAAGCAGATTAGAAAATGTAGAGGAGATGGGAAAAGGAATAGAAATTACAGAACAGGAATACCAAGAAACTGAGGTAGAGAGAGAAAAAAATATCTCTAGTAATGAAAGAATAATAAGAAAACTCTGCAACCAATCCAAACAGACTAATATTCACACTGAACAAGTACCAGAAGAAGAAAAGAGAGAAAAGGGGATAGAAAGTGTCTTTGAGGAAATAATTGTTGACAACTTCCCCAATCAGGGGAAGGAGATAGTCTATCGGGACATGGAAGTGCACAGATCTCCCAACACAAGGGGCCCAAGGAAGACAATACAAGGACATAAAATAATTAAAATGTCAAAGAGCAAGGACAAGAACACAGTATTAAAAGCAGCTAAAAAGAGAAAAAAGATCACATACGAAGGAAAACTCATCAGGCTATCAACAGACTTCTCAGCAGAAACCTTACAGGCCAGAAGGGAGCAGCATAATATATTTAACAAAATGAAACAGAAAGGCTTCCAATGAAGAATACTCTACCTGGAAAGATTATCATTTTAATTTGAAGCAGGGATTAAACAATTTCCAGATAAGCAAAAGCTGAGGGAATTTACCTCCCACAACCCATCTATACACTGTATTTTCAAGTGACTGCTCTAGATAGAAGTACCACTAAGGCTAAATAGCTGTCACCACAGAAAATAAAACCACAGTAAAGGAAGTAAAACAATTAATTACTAAGGAAATGCAAAATTAAATCAACTACCCACAAAGTCAGTCAAGGGATACACAAAGAGTACAGTATATGACACCTAATATAGAAAGAGTGGAGGAGGAAGAAAAAGAAGGGAGGGGAAAAAAGAACCTTTAGATTCTTTCTGAAATAGCATACTGAGTTAAGGTAGATTGTTAGACAATAAAGAAGCTACTGTTGAACCTTTGGTTACCACGAATCTAAAGCCTGCAATGCCAACGAGTACATATCTATTGATAATCCCCCTAAATGTAAATGGACTGAAGGCACCAATCAAAGACACAGAGTTACAAAACGGGTAAGAAGCAAAACTCATCTATATGCTGCTTACAAGAGACTCACTTCAAACCCAAAGACACACACAGACTAAAAGTAAAGGGATAGAAAAAGATACTTCATGCAAATTATAGGGAGAAAAAAGCAGGAGTTGCAGTCTTGCATAAGATAAAGTGGACTTCAAAACAAAGAAAGTCACAAGAGACAAAGAAGGACATTACATAATGATAAAGGGGTCAATCTAGCAGGAAGATATAACCATTGTAAATATCTATGCACCCAACACAGGAGCACCTACATATGTGAAACAAATGCTAACAGAATTAAAGGGGAAAATAGAATGCAATGCATTCACTTTAGAAGACTTCAACACACAACCTACTCCAAAGATCAGAAGAACCAGACAGAAAATAACTGAGGAGACAGAGGCACTGAACAACACTTTAGAACAAATGGACCTAACACACATCTATAGAACACTCCACCCAAAAGCAGCAGGATAAACATTCTTTGCAAGAGGATATGGAACAATTTCCAGAATAGATCACATACTAGGACACAAAAAGAGATGCAGTAAATTAAGAAGGATTGAAATTGTGCCAGCCAGCTTCTCAGACCACAAAGGTATGAAACAAGAAGTAAACTGTGCAAAGAAAACAAAAAAACTCATAAACACATGGAGGCTTAACAACATGCTCCTAAATAATCAATGCATAAATGACCAAATTAAAACCAAGAGCAAGCAATATATGGACACAAGTGAAAACAATAACTCAACACCACAAAATATGTGGAACACAGTGAAGGCAGTTCTAAGAGGAAAGTATAAAGCAACAAAGGTTTATTTCAAGAAAGAACAATCCCAAATGAACAGTCTAAACTCACAATTAATGAAACTAGAAGAAGAAAAACACATGAGGCAGAAAGTCAGTAGAAGGAGGAACATACTTAAGATCAGAGAAGAAATACATAAAATTGAGAAGAATAAAACAATAGAAAGAATTAATGAAACCAGGAGCTGGTTCTCTGAGAAAAATGAACAAAATAGATAAAGCCCTAGCAAGATTTATGAAAAAAAGAGAGTGTACACATGTAAACAGATTCATAAATTAGAAAGGAAAAATAATGATGAACACCAAAGAATGTAAAGAATTACTAGAAAATGCTATGAAAAATTACATGCTAACAAATTGTATAGTCTAGAAGAACTGTAAAACTTTCTAGAAAAATATAACTTTCCAAGACTGACCCAGGAAGAAACAGAAAATCTCAACAGACAACTACCAGCAATGAAATTGAATCAGTAATCAAAAAACTACCCAAGAACCAAACTGCCGGACCAGATGGCTTCACCAGTGAATTATATGAAACATTAAGAGAAGACCTAATACCCATCCTCCTTAAACTTTTCCAAAAAGTGGAAGAGAAGGGAATACTTCCAAACTCATTCTATGAAGCCAGAATCACTCTAATACCAAAACCAAGCAAAGACACCACAAAGAAAATAAAATTACAGGCCAATATCCGTGATGAATGTAGATGCAAAAATACTCAACAAAATATTAGCAAACCAAATTCAAATACACATCAAAAAGATCATCTATCATGATCAAGTAAGATGACAAGAGGAGCCCAGAACTAAGTTCAGCACAAGCCCACAGGGAGGGACTGCCATGTGCAGGATGAGCCACATCCAGAGAATCACTGACAACCAGTTGGAACACCTTGCCATTGTCAAAGTCATTTCATACATGCTACACTTTCCCTTCATCACCAACCGCACAAAGTGACACTTAGTCCCATCAGCATCACAGTCTCAGGGAGCAAAGAAGAAAGATCCAAATAAAGTGGGTTTTAAAAGGCAAGAATGTCTAGGAACATGAAAAAGAGAAAAGCAAAAGGCAAAGTGGGAAAAGAGAGAGGAAGGTAGAAGGAAGCCAAGGTGCAGGCGGAGAGGCAGGGAAGGGATGCCCCTCTTCTGAGGTCAAAGATCCTGAGGCACTGTCCCCCCCACAAATAATGGCCTTGCCCCCTGATGTACATGGTCTCACTCAAGACTCCTCAGGTGAGAGGGCTCTGTGTGAAAGCCTCAAGAAATAGCAAGGGTAAATATTTATGGTGGAGTCCTCAGGACAAAGGTTCAGCTACCTCCAAAATATGGCATTTACTTCAAAAGCTCAAAAGATAATCAAAGTGAAGATAATCCAATCCAACTAACAGTTTTTCAACACAGACTTGCTTTAATTCTCAAATGTTTTCCTTTGGCTTCTTCTTGAAGACATCAGTAATGATGGCTTTTGCAAGTTTCGAAACACTCTGGCTCTTCTCGCAATCCTTTGGCAAAAGGCCAGCTTCATGATGTCATCGAGAAGCAAGTTGAGGCCATGGCACACACACCCTGCTGCTGTCACATGTAACCGAGTATCCCCTGCATGCTCACAGGCAACTTTCATGCAACTTGCGCAGTCATCAAAGAGTATACGTGGCAGAAACAGCCTTTCCCAGGACTTTTCTCCTGTTTCAGGGCTCTTCTGTGAGAAAGATGAAATAGTAAGTTTCCTCATTCATCTCAGTGTCCCCCTAGGTAGGTCTTAGAGAGGTTCCATGTCCCATTCACAACCTGCCTTCAAAAAGGCCACAGGCAGGACACTCTTAGCTGTTTTTGAGAGTCCCTCCAATACACAACAGCAATAAAAATCCTAGGTGTTTCCCACAAGGGTCTGTACCATGTTTCTCTTTTCTAAAGGGGTCTTATGCCTGCAAATGGAACTGATGAATTCTTTTCTATAGCACAACTGGCAGTATTTTTTTAGGATGATGCCTGAGAACTTTGTGAAATGATGCTAGTGTCAATCAAGAAGGAGTAGGTCAGATTCCAAACGTACAAATCTGAAAAGACCTCCTTGCTCGTCATTTTGGTTCTTTATACTAGTAAAGAATTTTTTGGTTTCTGTTCATTAGTTTGTATTTTATTTTTTCTAATTACATTAAAAAGTGTTTTGGATCATCTCAGAAACATGTGAAAATACATATTTTATTTGGCAGCATTTGTAAATCTTGGTGTCCATTCCTCCCTGAATCTTTGAGTGACCTGCAATGTGCAAATATTCCCATTCTTTCATTGTTGCATCAGGGAAATGCTGGTCTGTGCTCTGGAAAGGTGGAGAAGGAAGGAAATAACAATGTTTTAATGGCTAGACAGCTCATAAATATGAAGTAAATCATATGCAAATTCAATAACAATTTCCACACAGAATAAGCTCTAAATATTTTCCTGGCCCTACAGACATTTTCCCATTCAGGTAAGTAATTTATTATTTATTATTTATTCAAGTAAATAAGTTTAGATGAAACATTGGCTCTAAGAAAAATCCAGTACAAAATAGAATTTTAGCTTTCTAAAGTGAAGTTGAGAGTTTCCAACATCCTCAATTATCAAAATGTATAAGCATAGTTAAATATTGTTTAATATTCAGGAAAATTTGCAAGTCCCCTTTCAAATAAAAAATAGCATTTTAAAGTTACTTTTAGGATTATAAGGTCTGCCTGCAAGAGGGTCCATTTGAGCAGTTCGGAGCAATTCATTTCTAATTTCTAAAGGAATAAATCAATACTCCTTCCATAATGTCATACATTTCTCTTGAACATCTAACATCTATTGGAGAAATGAATTATGTTTAGTTTACAAACCATGTCTTCCAGAGGTTTCTCACACTCCTGAAGGGGTAAGAGGAGGAGACTGAGGAAGCAGAACCACAGGCTTTCACCTCCTCTTCAAGCAGAGCAGCTCTGCTTGTATCCACTTTATGTACTGAACTTCTATACAAGATTTCAGTTAAAAATAGGCTTGCACTGCAAAAGGAAAATTTGAAATTGCTGCCCTATATCAAATGTCACCAAGAGGGAAAAAGGCTGAACCCATACATCTTCTTTCTTCTGTAATTGAAACACTTCTGAAGTGACTGCAAAAGGATCATTTTTAAGTCTTTAGTCCACAATAACAGAAAGAGTGAGAAAAAAGAACACATTTGGGAAGCTGGAAAGTAGATGGAAGAGTTGTCAACAACATAGCAGATCTGAGAAAACTGAATCTGATGAAATCAGAAGTAAAAGTCAAGAATTAACCTGACTTCTACTCAGGATTTTTATTACCAGGTACCTCTGGTGAAAAATTGGTAAAAATTGGTTTTAAGTCAGTTTCGGATTCAAATTCCCTTTTGCATAACTGGCCAAACACTCCTTTCAAACCCTAGTAAGAGACTGGAGGTAATTCTCTGAAGACAAAACAGGACATCTGAGCTGGGTGGGTATCAAATACCTTTGAGGCAGGGATTTCCGGAATATAGGGATTTGGGTGAACAAATGCTTTCCCTCAAATAGCTTCCAGAACACTGGTACCCAAGCCGTCAGCCCACAGGCAGGGTATGAGTATGGTCTTTTCCAAGAATCTGAACATTCCAAGGGCAAGATCTAAAGACACTAGTAGTAGAGGTTCCTCAACTAATTGGGCCAGCCAGTCACTCTGCAGTGAAGCCTGTGGAGTTTCAGATGTCTGAGAAACATGGTAGATAAGACCAAAACAAAGAAACAGAACAGCTACTTGAAGAAAAAGACAATGCAAGGAGAAAAAATCTTTCCCGCAAAAAAATAAAAATTCTCAGAGCATGAAGAGAATATAATTAAACCATATAAAATAACAGTATGTTGATCCTGAGTGCAGGATGGAGATAAGATGACAGTGTGAGTAGTTCAGTGGAAATCTCCTCCCAAAAACATATATATTTACAAAAATGCAATAAATACAACTATTCCTAAAAGAGACACCAGTGGATACAGTACAACAGCCAGGATACATCTACATCTGTGAGAACACAACATCACATGAAGGGGGTAAGATACAAGCCATGGCCAGATGGGACACGAATGCCCCACACCCAAGAACCCGACCAGAAGAAAGGAGTTGGAATGGGGAGGGAGTGAAAGCCCAGGACTGCTCAACAACCAGCTCTAGAAATCTGCACCCGGAGCACAGACACAAGGTGCATGGGGTGCTGGATACTAGAGAAATGGAAAAGCAGGTGGGCAGGTGTTCGTAACTGACACCCCTGAGACAAAAGAAAAGCAAGTGATTTTTGCAAGTCTTAAATAGACAGGGACCCCACAGCTGGATGAAGTCATCCCAGCACACTTAGACAGCAGGTGGGAATCCCAGGGAACTTTAGGTGCCCTAAATCCCTGGGTGGCAGCACAGCTCTGAAGCCACTCATGGCACCAAGCAGCCTGTCAGTTGATCCCCCAACCAGCATGGACCCCAACACACTGGCCCAGTAGTGGGAAAGCGACAGCACATGCTGTGCGTGGCCATGCCAGAGGGGACCAGGAGCAGCCAGCATGCACTGGCAGCACCAGAGGGGACCAGGAGCAGCTCATATGAGCCTGCCACTCTGGTGAGTGAGCAGCCCGGGAGCGACCCACATGCGTCGGCAGCCGCGGCACCAGAGGGACCCAGGAGAGGTCTGTGCAAGCCTGCAGCAGCAGCAAACAAGCGGCCCAGAAGTGGCCCATGCATGCCAGAGGCAGCGGCACCAGAGGGGCATGTGAGAGGCCCACAAACAACTGCAGTGGTGCCAGAGGGAGCAGCTGCACTCCCAGCAGCCAATCGGAATCCTAGCCCAAAGCAAGGGCGCCCGGGCCAGACCCAAAGGCCACTGCTGGCACACAGCTGCCTGGCAGGGGAGCTGTTATCATGGAGGAGTGCACCTGGCATGCCTGCCACTCCCCACAGGTCTCTGCACTGCTCTGATGGGGACTCCCGACAGCAGTTTAGGGGATTAGCCTGGTGGCTGCTCCAGGACTGCAGGTAAATGACACAGGAAGCAGAGAATGGCAAGGCATCCAGCAAGCAGGAAAGGACATTCTTCTCCCAGCTGACACACTCGCAGCCTGCCTATAGCCACTGTTATTACCATGAAAAGGCAGAAAAATTAGTCCAGTCCAAAATAGTTCAGACAACCCCTGAGAGAGGATCTGCACAGACAGACCTAACCAGCCTCCTAGAAAAAGAATTCAAAATAAAAATCATAAACATGCTGACAGAGCTGCAGAGAAATATACAAGAGCTAAGGGATGACGTCCGGAGGGTGATTACAGAAAAGAAACAATCTCTGGAAGGATTTATAAGCAGAATGGATAAGATTCAAGAGGCCATTGATGGAATAGAAACTAGAGAACAGGAACGCATAGAAGCTGATGCAGAGAGAGATAAATGGATCTCCAGGAATGAAACAATATTCAGAGAAATGTGTGATCAATCCAAAAGGAACAATATCCACATTTTAGGGGTACCAGAAGAATAAGAGAGAGAGAAAGGGGATAGAAAGTGTCTTTGAAGAAATAATTGCTGAGAACTTCCCCAAGCTCGGGTAGGAAAAATAGCTCAGACTACGGAGCACACAGAACTCCCAACAGAAGGGACCCAAAGAGGACAACACCAAGACACATAATAATTAAAATGGTGAAGATCAAGGACAAGGACAGAGAATTAAAGGCAGGCAGAGAGAGAAAAAAGGTCAGCTACAAAGGAAAACCCATCAGGCTATCATCAGATTTCTCAACAGAAACCTTACAGGCCAGAAGAGGATGGCATGATATATTTAATGCAATGAAACAGAAGGGCCTTGAACCAAGGATACTGTATCCAGCACGATTATCATTTAAATATGAAGGAGGGATTAAACAATTCCCAGACAAGCAAAAGTTGAGGGAATTTG